AGGGCTGGGTATTTATCCAGTGAAGAGTCCGACCAAAAGTAAGTACCGCTGACTTCCAGTTTAAAGAGAATGCTGAAGCGTTGCATAGAGCCGAGCTAGAAGTAAAGCGCCGCATAACTCCAATCGCGGTAACCATATTGAGCTAAGGGGGCCACGCGAGATTTTGCACAAATCAATCGCACAAAAATATTTCCCTCAGCATCAACAGAACAACAATAAAGACAAGGGCCGTAAGTCTTTTCGCTGGCATAGCAAAATCCATGAATTTGGATATCGACGGGATTTGGTATTGTAATACAACGAGAAAAATTTTAATGTTCGATAAGTTTTAATTGAGCCTGAAATGACAACCATAAATCGTGAATTTCGATAGGAAGTGATTCATCCCAGGTTACTCTCATTTCCAACACATTTGCATAATTATTTTTACGTATACGATAACTGGGTCCAACAATCCCAGCGGATCAAACAATTTTGAGACTTACCGTACCGAGCGGTACCGTACGTGACAGTATGAAGAATATACGTTTTAATTGGCTCTTGTGGATTTTTCCGAAATAAAATTTTTTGATAAAATGCGTCATCGGGATGTACAAGAATTTATCGATACATTTTCTCTGCGTCGGCTGCCAATACGAATATATGTTGACGATAACGAAGAAGAAAGTCAAATAAGTCATCCTGCAACTTAGGACCGACCATTAAGGTATCATTGAGCGATATTCCCGTTGACGTTTTTCCCGAGCCGTCAAAAACTACGCGAGTTTTTGTTGTGAGACTTTCTTGTTTTAATACCGCGTGATGAGGAAGATAAAATCCAATTTCTTGGCCATTTACATCATTTGTATACGACGATGTATGTTAATTTCTCATACTCAGTCAAAAAAGCAGAATAGTCCAGCTGTAAAATAGGATCTTTACGAAAACGATTTTCTAGCAAATAAAAGCGTTTTAACGCGCTATTGTATGAATGACCTAATTTCGATTTTTTGTCATTAAATGGCAACCTTACGATGTATCTACCATTAAATTTAAATTTTAGATTTTCCCCAGAAATATGTAAAACTGATAAATATTTTAATTTTTTAATAGATTTCTGGAAGCTAATTTACCCAAACTTTAAGAATTACCGATATTAATCTAAAATAATATTATTATTAAAAATAGTATGAAGTAAATTATAATGAGACGGAACAAGAGCATAATAAAGTTTCTGACAGCAGAAGTAGTAAATGATATAAATATGTTTTAGAAATCTATGTGTAATAGTATCACCAAGTCGTGGATGGAACATTTAAAAAGAATGCTAATCTACGGTGTTTTTCCATTGACAGAATTAATCCAACATAATGTGGTCAAGGTTAACGTGGTTGGAAATAAAATTAAATATTGTGAAGTTTACGTTCTCACAATGAGAATACCGGCATCAAGCATGGTCCATTGTTTCTTCTTCCATTGATAAAGGATAGATAGTGTAGCATTTTAAATCACCTTGTAATATGTTAAAACACCGAAAAAGTATTTTCAATCCTTTTGCATCGCTGGAGTTGATAATAAACACATTTTAAAGTTTGTTTATATATCACAGATGCGTATTTCTTCGGTATTCTGTGATCGAGAGTGACTTCAGGATATTCTGCGTGTCAAATAAACAGAATTTGTTCGTTTCTGTTTTGTTTATACCGAGTTGGGTAAACGATTTTTTAAGAGAATTACATCACTTTCGCTGGAGCCACTGTCAAAGGCAGTTGGTTTCGCTTTTGGTCCAAATTTTTCGTCAAATTGTGGCAGTTAATTGTGCAGTAAGTGAAGTGAGGTTTGGAAGATATTTTATAGAGAGCACACACGGCGTGAGTCGGCGTTAAGAAACCGGCAATTTTTTGTAAAAAATTGAATTCGAATATAATGTCTTTGAAAGAGTAATCACTGGTTTTAATTTCTAAATATCCGAGTTTTAAAGTTTGCGTCCCAGTGAACAGCTTCCATCCTCATTTTGTTTGTTCCAAGTCATTCCAAGCTAATTTGAAGTGTGGGATGCAGTTTTTTGCGTTGCAGTGAAATTGAGTCCTGTTCCAACCTCAGAATTTTTAAAGAAAAAAAAACATTTAGTGAAATTCAGGTAACTTTTTGTTGAAATTTTAAAATAAAAATAGACATTTCAATAAATTTCAATCTATAATTGCTTTCATGATAAGTTAAGAAATTGTAATAAGTAAATAATATTGACGTCTGACAGCTAGCTTTATTTTCTCGACAACTGACATATACCTAATCATAATTGAGGTTTTGTTTTTTAAAAGGATGTTAACCTCTATGCATAGTTCCATTTAAAAAGGTATTTTTCATTTGTAATCATTTATTTCTGCTACAAAATATCGCCCATTAACAATTGTAAGTTCTTATAGTATCCCCAACTTTGTTTGTAAACCGATAGTAACATAATAAGTTTGTTTTTTGTTATTTTGTATTACAATTTATATTTGTAACTGTTTTTCCCTAAAAAAAACAGTATTTTTTCTTTTAAAAAGTTACTAACCCTTTTTTATATTTTTAGAAAGGAAGAGCCTTCCTTTCATCCAATGAGAAGATTCTTCTAAGCGGCGTCCTTATCTTAAATAGCTTAAGAACCTTCTTGTATTTCAGCTCACCTCATCATTTACTTATACACAATATAGCTCTCTAAAAAAACCCTGAGTACCCGTTCGCAAATATTTCAGTTTGCTTTGCTTACACACAAATTGTTGTAGATAACCAGAACACAGCGTAAGGAGTCTGTTTTCTCTAGGCTATAAGCCTATGATGAGAAATGAAAAGGATGTAGCATAGGGGCAGACTAAGGCCTAGGCAAACCAAAAAAACGGCTACCGCCGCAAAATGTTTTGCTACCAGCGAAAAGGCAAAATCTGAAAAAGTGCCTAAGGCTAAAGAAGTACCATCAAAGACAGAGAAAAGCCGGCCAAGGCGAAGAAAGTTAAAAAGAAGTCAGCTTCTAAAACTTCGTCACCTTCATCCCCAGTTCTGACTTTCGCAGAGGCCAAAGTAAAAATACTAACCAAAGCCAAGAAATCAAATAAAGCAGTCCTACAAAAAAACCACAGGCATCTAAGCCATTAACTGCCAAGGCTACAGCAAGTTGACCAAAAGGCTAGAAAAGCTGCTGCTCCCAAGAAAAAGTAATTGGACTAATTAATATCTTTGAATTATTAAAACAAATGAAGTATTTATAAAAGTAATACATTATTTAATTAAAATAATACATACCATAAAATACCATAAATTGTGATTGTGATATTGAGTAAAATAAATTTAAAGATAAAGTGGCAAAACAAATGAAAAGAAGTTAGAAAAGAAGTTTCTTATCTGGAGATATAGAACAATTAAACAATAGTCATCATTGTTGTAAATTTCCCTGTTTAAACTCCAGAAACATCATTGGTATTCAAAACTGTTCTGCAAAAAGACCGGCAGGAAAAACTAAGCAGTTCCGATCATAAAGATGAAATAAAAGAAAATATAAATTTAAAATCATCCCAAAGTAATGATGAAACTAAGAGTTTTGTAAACAACATTGCATTATGGCCAGATACTTAACAGACGCCATGCGAGAGTATTATATATAAAAAAAATCCACTAAAATCAATAAATGAATCTTTGGAATCATGTTCTATTTGATGTAATGAAGGGTCTAAACAAATAAAAAGAAAATTAGGGAAAAAGTTAAATGAGATTGTTTAGATTATATTGAAATCAACAACTTACTGTACTATTAGGTTATGCAAACAAGACTAATCATAAAACAGAAGAATGATTTGAAAAATGTAGATAAAAAATTGTCAAAACATGGAAACTTCACTGACGGTGAAGAACCTTAAATTTAAACAATTATCATGATAGTGATGTTATGGATTCTTCAATAGATGAATAAAAATGTTATGAACAAGATTTAAACCTAATAGAACTGAAAGAGGAAGTATTACAATTTAAAACTGTTATAAGTATAGAGAGATTTTTATAAGAAAATATTATTTGGTCTGTAGCCATATGGTCATTTATTAAAAAAAATATATTACCACATTCCCAAATTTAAACACAATACTGGGAATTTATTTAACCATTCCAATTTTGGCTTGGAATCCAATAATTAAACAGAACTATATACTATATGCTTTGAAACCAAACTACCAAAAGCAAAAAATATGTGTCATGACTGAAAAATAGGCCCGGAATTACAATGTTGCCTAGGACCTGATTTAGCCTTAATCCGCCACTGATGTAGCACTTGCTACAAAGTGCATAGTTCCAAAAGGGAACCATCCAGGGTGTAAAGACCTATAATAGAAGGTGGCCAGACTGTGGACAAGCTGTGTTGAATACAATGATATATGGAAACTTTCAGTACAACTGCGACAATAATCAGCTCTATTTCAACACATTCTATATTCTGGCATAATGATGGTCGTGCACACACAGAGGTGTCACTATGACAGTGGAATTTCTGAGTAACTTTTATAACGGGATTTAGAAGAATGACACACTTGATAGGATTTGTGGAATGTACCAGAATTGTCCTCAAAATATCAAATAAATGTACTTAATAACAATGGCTAAAAAGTACAAACTGGCCTCTACAAAGTATTATAAAAGATAAAATAAAATATATTCAATATTGCAGCATAGTTCTTTTATATTTTTCAATATAACAAAACAAAACATAACATAACAAAAATAAATAATATAATTATAATGGTATATAAAATATTACAAATTCTTAAATACTATGTGGACTATTTAAAAAATGTAAATAATGTTGCTGACATTTAGCACAAATACTGTAAATCAGATTTGTCTTTTTCTGTCCTTCATATTTCTTTTTTTTTTTAACAAAGTATCATTTAACAAAATCTGTAATATTCTGTTGTGCTCTGAAATTGTATTTCAGATCAAAATTATATTAGCTGGTAAAATTTAAATATTTATTTTTGTAACCTATTGTTACTAACCTTTTTCAGTATTTTGATCTTCTTTAAATGGGTTAAATTTATTTCCATGTTGCTCTATTTCCGTATTTATGGAACATTTATTTAAGTCCAAATAATCATATGTGTTATGTGTACTTTGCCTAGTAGATTCCTCCTTGATTTCACATTTAAAGCCTCCCAAAAGAGCATCATCCAACTCATTAGACTCTATCTCTATTTTACACATTGCCTCGCTAATTTCTTGTTTTACTTCCATTTGCTTACACTAGATTTTATGTATACAAATAATAATTTTATCAAATTATATTATTTATTTATGATCCTTCGTCTCCGTACAGAATAATAAACAATCAGAATGCCCACTCTCCATCAGTGATGCATTATTTATCTATGAGTGATGCCCATCGAGCAATAAGACAAAAGAGGGAATCTAATCCTTATGAAAAGGAGACCAAAAAAGTGGCCTCTGATGGCGGACATATCCGGAAATGCGAATGCGCGAAATTTAAATTTTCCGACACTTATCAACAGTAGCTATATAATATTTTTCAAAATGTGTCTTAGACGAGAAAGTTTTAATTAATTATTAATGATAAGAGTCTAAAATGCGACACAATTGTTAAAAAACTTAATATAAATAAGATTCCATGTGACATTTGGGATAAACAATAACATAACCCAACTAAATTTGATGTCAAACAAGGAGAGAGACTCTCTTTCCTTGTTTAAAGTGGCCTCTAAAGATCGCACTTCCTGTCTAACAATATGTTTGCCCACTACCTTTACATTCCCTCTATTGTCTTTTTGCTCGATGGTGATGCCACATGAAGTCCAAGAGAAAAATTAAGATCGGAAAAAATAAATCGTAAGAAATCGTGAGATTTCGCTACAGTTGAATTTTGAAGAAAATGGGAGTTTTTAAATGATATATAATTATACAAAACTATTTTAAATACTTTGTATTGTTATATATTAATTAATGTATAAGTACATACTTAAAAATTAGTGTACTAGAAAAGGGTCTACTTTAGGGGAACCACCAGTATCAGATATAATTTTAGGAAATTACCTACCTACCTATATCTATACACTGCAAGCTATGGATTTATCGATTCAATATAAACATTCTTTATAGTTATAGTTTAAACTTCAATGAAAATTATAAACCTATTTTACCCAAGAATATTAAGTATAATAGGTATATATTAGGTATACATAACATTTTGTTTTCTGAGGATTTAACATTTTATCGGTACTTGTAGGATTTCAAAGTTATTGAAGATGAAATATAAAGTCATTGTTATATGCAATTGCTGATTTGTTTCATATCTCGAACACACATTTAAATCATTTTGGTCTGTTGATCCTTTAATACAAAATTCCGGCTATTCTTGATATTTATTGATAAAATATACATAAACTTCAGTTGTTTATGGACCGATATTATTTACACTTTCAAAGCAATAAAGAACCTTTTAAGCTTTGTTTATATTATTTTGTGTATACTAATTGGAGTAGTGCAAGCATTTTTGTATAAAAATATAGTTGATTTATGAATATTTCAAGGTGACAATCTAAGAGCACTTTAAAAATGCTGATTTTCTCGTATAAATTTTATTAGGTACCCATTATTTATCTTTAGATTTAGTAACAGCCTAAAAATTTTAGAAATCGTAAGATATAAGACGTCAATCGTGAGATCGTGAGATTTGTCTTGATCGTGAGGAGTGGCATCACTGCCAGTGTTGTTAACTCCAAAACTGAATATTTCCGTAGAGGGCGCTTCAAAAATCCGTAGAAATCCGTAGAACAGAAACATAGCAATTTGTATGTGTGTCTCAGCCACAATGCCCACAATATGACGAACGACGATGCAACACTGACTGCATACATTGAGGGATCAATTCAATTGAAAATTTAAATGGAAAAAAATGTATGCTACATGACTCGAGGTGTACGGTGTTTCAATAATTTACTAAGTACATACTTGTTTATGCAACAAATTTATTTGACAAAATATATCTAAACAGAAACATTCATATTCCAAGAAAAATAAAAAAACCAGATATAAAAAATATACTAAATAAAAAATATACAGAAAAAACAAATACCTATCTAACCGAATAAAAGCAACAATTAATCTATTAAGCCTTATCCTCTTCCTCGGATGATGACAATACTTTTTTATGATCGTATAAAATTTTACTTTCCATATTAATAATGACATTTTTATCTATTGTTTAAATAAAATATATTTTGTCTGCATCGTTAAAGTAGATCTCGTATTTATGTTAGGGCGGGGAGTCCCCAAGGTAAATCTCAGCCACAGAATAATAAACAAACAGAATACCCACTCTCCACGGAAAATTAAGTACGCGCATCTCCTCCGCGCAGACGTTCCGCCATGTTTTAGGAGGATTTTAAAAAATTAGTGTTGTTTATGTGGTGTGCATGGAAAAATTAACCAAGTTTATTTGACTTACGGCAATCATAGACATACTATACATTGGTAAATATAATAACATAAATATAATACAATTAAACATAAATATAAACAATTACATAACCACACAAATCATATGTCTGTGTCCTCCTAAAACATGGCGCGCATGCTGAAAAACTTCAAAGGCGGCATCTGAGAGTGGCCCTTCTGATTGTTTATTATTCTGTGTCTCAGCATTCCATCTGAGATCACTGTTATTACCCTAAGCGCCGGGGATTCACCTGTTACGAAAATTGAAATTCATCCCTACTCCTACTATTACACTACAAGTAGAGTTCTTTTTCACGGCATTACAGAGAACGAGGACTAGATGTCAATTAATTATTTGATTAATATTTCTATTTCTGTAAAAAGCTAAGAGTAAAAATTCTATTTTTATAAAAAGCTAAGAGTAAAAAATCCCAATTTTATTCTTGATTGCTTCAGCTGAAAAATCCGTAGAAATGTGATCGATATCCGAAAATCCTAAATAATTTCGAAAATCCGTAGATCTACAGATAAATCCGTAGAGTTAACAACACTGATCACTGCTCTCCATGGAAAATTAAGTACGCGCATCTCCTTCGCGCAAACGTTCCGCCATGTTTTAGAGGGAACCAGTGTTGTTTATGTGGTGTATATAGAAAAATTAACCCGGTTTAATTGACTTACGGCAATCATAGATATACTATACAATTATATTAACATTGTTAAATATAATAACATAAATATAATAGAATTATAACCCGACAAGCGAGAGCTGGCGGTTTGCTCGTAGAACAAATTGAAAAGTAGAAGGTATTGCTCATTTCTATTGCAGTCGGCTAGGAGTTCACACGGAAGAAGGAAAACGGAATCCAGGCCGTAGAAGAATGTCATGGTTGCGGAATTTAAGAGAGTGGTTTGGCTGCACCACTAATGAACTCTTTAGGTCAGCCGTAAACAAGGTCAGAATAGCCTTGATGATTTCCAATCTCCGATAGGAGTGGCACAAAAAGAAGAAGAAGGAGTTCACATGCTATACAATGGACCATGATACTATGATAAGAAGATAAGATATTACGCATGTTTTTGTGACGTCATTGGAGAGTTGCACGTTCGAAATGTCAGTTTTTTGTATGTGTCAATAAATAATCTTTAATAAATAGTTTGGAGATATCCTTATGTGTACGATTATTGTAATTATTAAACCTCTTAACTTATTTTCGTCTAATAATTTCATTACAGAATGCATACAAATCCCATTTAACTTTAACAAGAATTCAAATTCTACTCTCCAATGACGGCATGCGCGAACACGACCGATTTTGGGCTACGGGAAGATCCTATCTTGTTATTCATAGTATCATGCAATGGACGATTTTCACGTTTGGTCCCATTGAAGATAGCATCAAGTTAGCTGTCAATTAAGTTTCACAGAACGAAATATTGCGTTGGCAGTGTTGCCATGTTATAATGTATATGTTATATGCTTCAAATACAAAGAGATAAAGCTTTTAAAAGGTACATTTTTATCATATTATTTTATGGATTCTACAATTTTATACCTTATATAAAATATTAATGAATTAATATTTGTTTCGTTTGATATTAGTTGTAATAAATTATCAGAATTTTTTTTTTGGCAATTGCCATTGGGTAGGTTAGCGGATAGATTTGGCAATAGAGTCAGAACCCTCATAGCACACGTTGCCAGATTGCAACAGATGCCTTTTAAATTTTATTATTTATACTGACATTTTACTATTTACTGTTAAAAACTGTTTTAAAACTATTTACTTTTTCTTTTTTTGGTAATCGTTAAATATTAGTTTTTAAATATCTTATTGCTTTTAATTGCGTATGTTTCGTTTTTAATGTAAATTTCAACACTGCAAAACTCCAATATTTCATTCTGTCAAACCCATTTAAAGCTATCTTCAACGGGACCAAATGTGAAAATCGTCCCTATACAATTATATTATCATTGTTAAAAATATAATACCATAAATATAATATAATTAAACATAAATATAAACAATTACATAACCTCACAAATCATATGTCTGTGTTACAGTATAAATTCTGTGTTTCCTTCTAAAAGATGGCGCGCGTGCTAAAAAACACATCGAGCAAAAAGACAAAAAAGGGAATGTAAAGGTAGTGGGGACAAAAATATTGTTATAGACAGGAAGTGCCATCTTCAGAGGCCACATTAAACAAGGAAAGAGAGTCTCAATCCTTGTTTGACATCTAATTCAGTTGGGTTATGTTATTGTTTGTCCCAAATGTCACATGAAATCTTATTTATATTGAAGTTTTTTAACAATTGTGTCGCATTTTAGACTATTGCCGTTAATAATTAATTAAAACTTTCTCGTCTAAGACACATTCTAAAAAATATTATATAGCTACTGTTAATAAGTGTCGGAAAATTTAAATTTGCCCACCACTCTCCTATGCCCACCAAAACAGAATGCCCACCACTCTCGATGGAAAATTAAGTACGCGGATTTCCTTCACGCAGACGTTCCGCCATGTTTTAGAGGGAACCAGTGTTGATTATGTGGTGTGCATAGAAAAATTAACCCGGTTTAATTGACTTACGGCAATCATAGACATGCTATACAATTATATTAACATTGTTTATGGTTTCCTCCAGAGATATGCTTACATATCTCTGGTTTCCTCTAAAGCATAGCGGAACCTGCGCGAAGGAGATGCGCGTACTTAATTATCCATGGAGAGTGGGCATTCTGATTGTTCATTATTCTGTGTCTGTGTTTCCTTTTAAAACATGGCGCGCGTGCTGAAAAACTACAAAGGCGGCATCTGAGAGTGGGTATTCTGATTGTCTATTATTCTGTGGCACCGGTCTCGGTCTGTATCTGTATCTGTAACACAAACGAGATTAGACAAGGAAAAAGAAGAGAGTGTAACGTGATTGATTATTAATAGGTTATGTTATTGAAAATTTTGAATCAAATGTGATGTAGGTAGATATTATATGTTTAAAACGTTAAAGCTTTAAAACATTGTTATAAAATATGAAATCTCAGATTATTTATACATCAAGCAATTCTAATCAAGTTCCAACCGTTGTCGATTGGGGTAAAAATGATTTAATATGCTATGGATCTTGTAATTCTGTATTGGTATATGATCCCAATGTAAGTATATTCAAATATTTAACACTGTTTAATGGAAAGATGCTCTTTGGAAGCATGGAAGAACATGATCTTGTGGCATGTTCAAGTTAAATTGTATTTAGTAAACACCTTGCATTTGTTTTGTTTTTTCCATATTCACCCCAGAAATCATTGCCAAAAAGATAAAATGTAATTTTTATTACAATCAAGTCTGGCTCAATCCCATATTTAACCCTTCGCAGCACGGGTGAATTTGTTTTACACCAAAGGTCGGGTGGTGTCTAAAGAGACTCACATTATGTATTGAAATATATTACAAAAAATGAAAAAATTACAATTACAAAATATTACAATTTTTTATGATACAATTTTTATTGTTTACCTTCTTTTATAACATAAAACATATTTTATGAATGTAAACAAACAACAATTCTTTATTTGGAACTTATACAAGCAATCCTCAAAAAAAGACAACAATGGTAAATTTTTTCAAATATTTCTCAAACTTCAAAATTCTGTGTAACACAACCTTGACACATGGGCTGTACATGTTCCAGGCAAAGCCATTTTCTACATTTTTTGAAACAATATCTTGTTTTCCCATTTTGACAGTAGTAGCATCTTTCATGTTGTACACTGTCAGTTAGTTGATTGTCATATGGCCACTTCTGAACTCGCTAAATGCTGTGCAATAGCACGCGTTTCTCGTTTTAAGTGCATGTTTTCGCTCGAGAATTAATGCTTTCTTTAACTAAATCAAGACCAACATTTTTGAGATAAATATTACAGGTCAAATTTTTGTCGGGATCGTTTGCGTTGTAAACTACTTGTCCATTGATGCCGGAAATGTTTATTATATTATATAATGTTACCATAGGCCATCTTCTGGTGTTCCTGCTAACATTGTAGGCAGCTGATTTTTGATCAGCACAATCTACACCACCTTTTGTGATGTAAAATGTGATAATTGTAGGTTTATTTTTTTCACCAGTTTTGGAATCAATTCCATCACAATGGTTTGGCACATGTTTATTCCATTTTTTAATACCATATTTTGCTGTATAATAAAGATGCCTATTACTACCTCTACAGATGCTAGTGCTAGACAAATGCTAGCTTCATGGTGTAATGTTTCATAGATGTTGTCTTCTTCGTCAGAAAAGCCTTTCTCTTCTAAATCATCCTCAGCTTCTACTTCATCAGAATAGAATAGAAAAAAGCTTTATTCTCAGGATTCACAAGTTACACACAAATATAAATTGTCAATAGAGAGAATTTTATTTATTTTTATTTATTTATTTATTAACGGATATACCATTTACATTGGAACAATATATAATATATAAAATTTTACAAAGTAAGCATAACATTGGAAAATAATTAGTAAGTTTAACAAAAACTAATAATTAACTTGAATACAAACTAATATCACACAAATAGCAGTCTCTTTATCACATTTTTAAATTGTTCTAAGGACTGGAAAAATAAGTCCAGATCACTTTGGTACCTATCATATAGTCTCACCATATGAGTAAGAGGCTTGAAGTATTCATAATTAAATTGATGAAATAATGAAGTATGCCTAGTTCCATGAAGAGTGTTAAGACCTAATCGATTTAAAAGTTCAGGGCAATTTATCAAATTATTAACAGTTTTGTAAAGGAATATTAGGCAAAAATAATCTTTTCGCCGATTCATAGAAACCATTTTCCAGTGATCAGCTATCATACTATAACTGTATGGGACAGAGAGGTCATGAAAAGCACTACGGTAATGATAGTGTTTACCAAATTTATGCTGAACACGATCAAGCTTGTCTATAGATGTTTGATAGTAAGGTCCCCATACAACTATTGCATATTCTAGTCTGGAGCAAATGAGACTATTCAAAAGAATTGGTAAGACAAAACATAAAAATTGAGAAGAGAATGGTGTCAGTTACAATTTATAATGGTTGCTGTAACAACCTACACTTAACATAAAAGTAATATTAAAACATAATGATAATAACAGTGACATTTAGATTCAGGTAATCATACAACTTGTGTAGTCTAGCTTTTTCTGCTAAATAAGGATCCATTTTTAAAACGATTTACTACTTAAAATAGTAAAAATTTGTCTCAACAGAAGTTACAGTAATAGTTTGAGTTAACGTACTGCTTCTCCATTTTGTAACTGCAAAGTTCAGGTAGTGTCTCGTGGACAAAAATGCACTGCACAAACTCTCAGAGACTTAGAATCAAACTGCGGCCTGGCACATATGCTACTATGCTGTATTTCATGCAGTTACTCAAGCGTCCGCGCGTTAGAACTAACAGGTCTATTTGCAAATTGTAAAAATATGATTGGCTTGTCGCAAAGACACTCACCCGTGCCGTGAAGGATCAACTTTAATATTTTGTATAGATATAGGTTTATTTAATTGCCATCTAATAAAGATCTCTTAAATTTATTTATTGCCATTTTTACATACTGTATTTTGAATACTTTTGTTTAATTAGCAGCTAGGCCAGATCAGACACACAGTATAATATTCTTTGGTATTACTATTACTTCATATATGCAACAATAAATATAATTGAACAGTTTTATCTCTTTTATGATTGATTAGTAGCACTAATCTACTTAAATGTAATTTTGCAGTTTGCCATGTATTAGAATATTTCTTAATAAGTTTCTTAAATTTCTTAAGTTTTAATATTTAGGAAAATCCAGATGTATCTTTCTTTTGAGAACTATTAGACTTGGATAAGGTTCATTTAAATATGATAAAATTATATAATCTTAAAAGTTCTTGTTTATTTTACCATATTTTACTTTTTGTATTAAGATACATATTAACTATTTTAGTATGGAAGTGGAGGAAAAGTTACCCATATATTAATAAACCATACAAAACGTGTAAATTCTGTAAAATGGTTAAGAGGAAAGAACAATACCCCAGAATATGAAATTATTTCTGGATCTACTGATGGGACATTATGTATTTGGACTTTAAATGGTGATATATATCTGCTAAAAATACTAAAAGGCCACAGTTCCAATGTCAATATTGTAGATGGCCTCTATAGAGATGACAAAAGTGCTGTTGTAGTAAGTGTATCAATGGATCAAACTGCCAAAATATGGTTGAGGCAAAATTCTCAAGGTAAGAAACAAATACAGTAGAAACTGCTTAATTCGAACTTCGTTAATTCGAAATCTTCTTTAATTCGAATTTTTATTCTGGTCCCTAGCATTTCCTATATAAGTACTTAATGTTAAAAAGTCGTGGATAATTCGAATTATATTTTGGATAATTCGAACTTTTCTACAAGTTAAAAATGCCAATTTCATGCTGGAAATTTCCGCTAAAAGAGGTAGTATTCTTTTCTGTTTGTTTCTGTTCTGTTTCTGTCACCTAAATTCTAGCCCATCTGGCACGCCCCTTCAGTTGAGATGCGTTGACGTTGCAATTGCAATCACCGCAAATCACGTCAAGTCACTTCGTATTGAGTAAAGATGTCGTCGCATGGTAATACAAACACATACAAAACTTTAACGTTATCGGAAAAAATAGCGGCGATTAGAGAAGTAAAAAAGAGGACGAAGAAAAAAACAGATTGCCAGGGACTTTGGAATTCCTCTTAACACATTATCCACCTACTTGAAGAATAAAGAAAAAATTCTCAACAGTGAAAGTGAGTGCGGTAAAGATCGAAAAAGGTTAAGGGAGCCATAAAATCCAAATTTAGACAGTTGTGTGTTAAAATGGTTCAAACAAGCTAGGGATAAGAAGATTCCCGTAAGTGGTCCCCTTATAAGAAGCAAAGCTGAACAATTTGCTATTGAAATGGGGAAAAACAATTTTAAGGCGAGTACCGGGTGGCTCGACGGCTTTAAAGAACGCAACAAACTTTCTTTCAAATCTATTTGTGGAGAAAGTGGGAGCGTTAATCAGCAAGAAGCCAACCAGTGGAAAAAAATTTGGAAGAGATGACTCAGGGTATGGATGAAAGAGATATCTTTAATGTTGACGAGACGGGTCTCTTTTTTAAATGCACTCCTGACAAAACGCTAGCATTTAAAAATGAAAAATGTCACGGAGGAAAACTAAGTAAAGAAAGAGTAACTCTCCTAATTGGTTCAAACATGGACGGATCAGAAAGACTACCTCTACTAATGATTGGCAAGTCGGCTAATCCGCGTTGTTTTAAGAACGTCAAGTCAAAACCAGTGGAATATGTGAGTAGTGCAAGAGCTTGGATGACTAGTGATCTTTTCGAGAACTGGCTGAAAAAATTAGACAAAAAGTTCATAAATGAAAAAAGAAAAGTTATTTTGTTTATTGACAATTGTATGGCACAAACCACTATCTCACTGATGGAAAATGTAAAAGTTATTTTTTCCCTGCGAACATGACTTCAGTTCTCCAGCCTATGGACCAGGGTGTCATAATTTTAAACATTTTTACAGACGTTTTTTGGTTGAAAACATAATGATGGAAGATTGCGACACCCTTAAAATAAAGTTAGACATTCTACAAGCATCTCGAATGTGTAAGAAAGATTGGGACCAAGTAACACCCAAAGCGATCAAACAATGTTTCAAAAGAGCTGGTTTCATAAAAAAGGAGGAGAACACAGACGACAATTTAAGAGAAGAGCTTCTTTCAGTTGACTGCTGGGGGGACATCATTTCTGATCCTGCCATCTCTTATGAAGATTTTATCAACGTGGATGAAGATGTTGCAGCATGTGGTGAAATAACTGATACATAGATCATCGCTGAAGTGCTTAAGTACAATGATGAAAAACAAGAGAGTGATGAAGACGACGCATCATCAGTTGCGGGAAAAATACATGTTCCGAGTGCGGCCGAAGCAACACACCATATTACGCAACTTAAACGGTACTTTGAAAGTAAAAATGATGTACGTCACTCTATTTTTAGTTCACTGGACATCTTAGAATCGTTTGTCATTACTGAGACGTTAAATTCTAAAAATCAGCTAAAAATTTTGGATTTCTTTGGAAAAAATTAGTTCATTAATTATAACAAATATGTATTCTTATTTTCAATAAATTTTTTGAGACAAAATGTTTTATTGTTTTAATGATGCGTTCTCACTGGGAATTTTTTATCTGCCGATTATTTCGGCTAAGATTTGGCCAAAAATGCCAATGAGAAAACCTGCAAATGATAAAAATCGACAATAATTGACCATTTGTTATAGCTTGCAAATGCTTTAATTGGTATTCTGGCCCAATTTTGTTGGCCCATTTTTTTCGGTTGACAAAATTCGGGCAAAAATAGTAACGAAAACATCTGCAAGCGATAAAAATGGTCAACTAATTGTTGATTTTTATCGTTTGCAGACGTTTTTATAGGCATCTTTGTTTTTTGTGGATATATTTTTAATTCGAATTTTTGGATAATTCGAATACAGTGGAACCTCGATTATCCGTCAGGGCACCGGACCAAGGGTATGACGGATAATCGAAAAGACGGTTAACAGAACATTAAAAATTCATAGTATAACTCTCAAATATTATTTGTATGTTTTATATGACAATATAAGAAGCATTTATGTTGGTACAGTCGAATCATTTTGATTTAAAATATTTCGAAATCTTTGTTTGTTTTCTTGTTAATTCACATGTTGCAACAACTGAATTTCTTACTCGACGTAAAATCATCATCTACCTTATTTGCTTCTTTTCGAGAATACCACTCGATAAATTGTTGTATGTGCGATACAGCTTCTCTAGCCTCTTTGTGCAAATCTTTGTAAGTTGCAATAGCATCATCAACATCGCCACCGTCAAAGTCTGTGTCAGCTTTTGAATCAGTTGCGATTTTAAAGATTTCATCATCTGTCAGCAATCGATAGCCGTTTGCGTCCTCATCACAAATTAACCATTCGTTTATCTCATCTTTAGGCAACAAAAACAAAACACTTGATTCAGCCATAACTTCGTTACCGCATCACGCTCTACTTTCACGAGGGCTTTTTCATCTTGAGTTGATTCAGGCCATAATTTATTCCACGCTCTTTTCAGCGTTACTTCCGAAACTTCAGCCCAAACATCCAGAGTATTGTCGACTGCGTGTTTTAAATTGTATGCTTTCCAGTATTCTGGAAAATAATATTCTTCTTCCATACTACTTGCACTTGAACACATCATTGCTGTGATTCGTTGCTTTTGTGTTTTAAATCCAGGTGCATATTTTTGCAGTGCAGACAGCGAGTGTTTTCGTTGGCAATGCTTAGTAGTTTAAACCAGTTTCATCCGCATTAAACACTTGATCGCGTGTCAAACCATATTCATCGATCAGAGCTTGAAACTTTCTTTTATATTCGTCAACGACAATACTATTCAGTTCCTGTATACCAACCAGCCGCTGGCGCTGCTTCCTTTGAATGAAGGATCGCCATTCAATTTCATGTTGAAAAATAAGGCTTTTTCGCAACAATTGGTACAGACAAAGGAACACCTTCGCTTCGTTTTTGAACGCCATTTCGGGTTCGACGCCATTCACCTGTTTGAGTTCCTCAAACATAGCGGCAGATTCACTAGGCAATGGCACGCAGAATTCTTTTCTGACATCCTTCAAACGGGAAACGTCCCCCACCAACTCAAAAATGCAAAAATCGTCGCCATTTTAAAACCAGGGAAAAGTAATAATTCACCGAAAAACTACCGCCCCATCGCACTCTTAAGTATGGTGTACAAATTGTTCGAAAGACTGTTGTATAATAGAATCAGCAAAACCATATTCCAACACTTACCAGTGGAACAGGCAGGATTTCGGCCAAACCGCAGCTGCACAGACTAGGTACTCGCCCTGACCAATTATGTGGAATCAAACTTTCAAAAGCAATTAAAAACAACCGCTGTCTTCATCGATCTATCTGCTGCTTATGACACTGTGTGGCGACAAGGGGCAATATATAAATTAATGCGAATAATCCCATGCAGAAAGACCACTGAGGTTATTAACGCCATGCTATCCAACAGATGCTTTAAAGTTATATTGGGAGACAAGACTAGTACCCAAAGAAAACTGAATAATGGACTTCCACAAGGATCCGTGCTGGCTCCCTTGCTTTTCAGCCTCTATATAGCAGACATGCCAGAAACCACATCAAAAAAGTGTGGATACGCAGACGACTGGACGCTTGCCGCAAGTCATAAAGAATTCGAGGTCACTGAACGATTTCTAACAAACGATTTAAATGCCCTAGGGAATTATTTCCGCAAATGGAGATTGCAACCCAATCCAACTAAGACAGAAGTGTCCTGCTTCCATTTATATAGCAAGATGGCCAACTATCAACCTCAAATCAATTTTGAGGATATACTCCTTAAATATAATAAACACCCAAAATACTTAGGTGTTACACTTGACAGAACGCTGAACTTTAAAGAGCATCTTACTAAGACTGCTGCAAAACTCCGAACTCGTAACAACATCCTGCAAAAGCTCTGCGGCACTACATGGGGCTCCTCAGCACCCACACTTAGATCGACAGCATTAGGACTGGTATACCCCGTAGCGGAATACTGTGCACCAGTATGGATAAACAGTCCACATACTCACCGTGTTGATGTCCAACTTAACCAAGCCATGCGAACTATATCGGGCACCATCAAGGCCACGCCCACTTACTGGTTACCAGCTTTGAGTCATATAGCTCCACCACCCATCCGCCGGGCACTTGCCCTTGTCAGAAAATTTAGAAAAATCAATACTGATGGGAGAATAACAACAATGGGAGAATAACGCTACACCAGCTAACTGGAACATGCCATGTATTACAAGCAAACCTGAGGGCTTCAACCAACCGAGATGAATTTGGACCACACTCAATAGAATAAGGACGAACTGTGGCAGATGTTCCGACTCACTTTTTAGATGGGGAAAAATACAATCACCAAATTGCGACTGCGGCGCCGAAAGGCAAACAGTAAAACACATGGTAGAGGAATGCCCGATTAGATCCTATAATGGCAACCCTTCAGATTTCCTGGCTGCTACAAAAGAGTCAATCGAATATATTTATAAGCTAGATGTTTGTTTGTAGAATATTTTTATATTTACTGTTGTTTGTAATTTATATTTATATATTTATATGAACCTGTGATGTAGCCATACGCTAAATAA